TACTGCACCACTCCACAAAGATGGCAGTAAATCACTGGCTAAACTACTGACCGATACCCTGACGCCCTCGCATTATCAAAACTTGTGAGTTATAAGATTAAAGACTGCTAAATACACGGAATAAAAACTGAAGAGCCCAGGGCAACAAGGCTATAGACGGGAAAGTTCTAGAGGCATATGTCCCATTTTTAACACAAATCTGTTTCCCATCGAGGTAGGGGGGCCCCCAGAAAAAAAAAACCACTTCCACCACTCCTTCAGAGTGCAAGGCACTGTACTTCCCACCTCCAGGACCAAGCCCGGCAAACCCGGTTTCCTGAATCCCTTCAAAAATGTTACTTTGTTAAAACTCCAAACAGCAGTAAAGTTATAAAAACAACTTGCCTCCACCTACGTCCAAATATACACAGTAAGCAAGAGCTCGGCAGACGAATGAAAGCAAGGGTGCAGCGAATAGAACAAAAGATAACTAAATAAGTGTAAAGAGCCCAAGGACTCGTCAACAGCCTCCCTTCATACAGAGAGGGATCACAGGGTGTCGGGAGGGAATTTGATAATTTGGGTTGATTAGCCGGGCTGTGGTTGCACACGTTGGGCTGCGTGCACCCCAGCACCAACAAACTGACTGATATGGCTATCAATCAGAAGGCCCAGGCTTTCTGTTTGATGACATGATCAGTCAGGCTGTTGACCAAAACCATGCCCCACAACCAGGCTCATCAGGAACTAACTTGAGGAACCAATCAGTTTATAAATTTTTTGACCTTTTTTCTGCTAGAAACTTCTTACATCCACAGTAAATATCTTTAGAAAATATCGTCCAGTAGGAGAGCAGAATATTAAAACCTTGAGAGGAATATTAACTGAAGAATATTAAACCTTGTTATTTAATATTCTTGAATTATTGTTTGATTCTGATAGAAAAAAAGAACATGGCCGCTGCTGTAGTTGATGGAGGGTTTCCATTACCATCATTATCATCACTACCACCATCACTATCACCATCATCACTACCCCACTATCACCACTACCACCACTATCACACCATCACCATCACTATCACCAATACCACCATCACTATCACCACCACGATCATCACCATCACTATATCACCAAACCCCCATTGCTATCACCACTACCACCATTATCATCACCACCATTACCTGGAGTTTACCTGGAGAGGGGTTTTGGGGTCAACGCCCCCCTGGCCCGGTCTGAGGGCCAGGCCTCATGGTCTATCACCATACCCATCATTATCACTACCCATCACTATCACCATTACAATCACTATCACCATACCACCATCGCTATTAACCACTACCCTCACAATCACCACTACCATCACAATCACCATTGCATCACCACTAACCCATCATCACTATCACCATACCACCATTAAAAATCACCATCCACCATCACTATCACGATAAAAACCATCACTATCCCCACCATCACTATCACCATCACTATCATCACCCCTTATCCCCACTACCATCGCTATCATCACTACCCCCACACTATCACCACTACCCCATCATCACCACCACCACATCCCTCACCATCCCCTATCACCAACACTATCACCAAACCCTTTTCACCATTACCATCGCTATCATCACATCACACTACAACCATCACTATCATCAATATCACCGCTACCACCATCTCTATCACCAATACATCACTATCACCATCATTATCACTATCATCATATCATCCCAAAATCACCACTACAACCATCACTATCATCATATCACCGCTACCACCATCTCTATCACCACTACATCACTACCATCACTATCATCAATATCACCACTACAACCATCACATCATCAATATCACCGCTACCACCATCTCTACACCACTACATCACTACACCACTAACCACATCTATCACTACCTACTACCACCACCACTACTATCACCAACACCACTTTTCCAATTAAATACCCCTACCACCTCACTACCACCACCATTATACATTACCACAACAACGATCTCACCTCTACCATCACTGCATCATCACAACACTACATACCACACCTCCACCATCATTATCATCACTATTACCACCACCAACCACACCACTGCACTGCAACATCACCACCACAACCCAACCAATACACCACACTAGCTCAGCACTACCACCACACAATCACCCTACCCCACCATCACCACCCCTACCATTAGCATCAACACTACCAACCATCACTATCCCCAATACCACCACACCACTACACCACGCTAAACAACACTACCACCACATCCCATCACCATTACACAACAATGTGTTCAAGGGACCACCATCATCGCAGAACACAAATACCACCCTCATAACACCCCCACCCCCATTAAAACACCCCCACCCCAAATTATAACACCCACCCCCAGAATAAACACATTTTAAAAGGGGTCAACACCTTTAATTTTTGGTTTAACACCCCGGTCATGGTGTTAAGAAGCTTGGGTTTATGGGTGTTAAGCCTGTGTCATGGTGTTAAGAAGCCTGTGTCATGGTGTTAAGCCTGGGCCATGGTGTTAAGAAGCCTGTGTCATGGTGTTAAGAAGCCTGTGTCATGGTGTTAAGAAACCTGGGTCATGGTGTTAAGTAGCCTGTGTCATGGTGTTAAGAAGCTTGGTTCATGAAGTTAAGGGCCCGTGTCATGGTTTTTAAGAAGCCTGTGTCATTGGTGTTAGCCCGGGTCATGTGTTTAAAAAGCCTGGGGCCCTGGTGCTAAGAAGCCTGTGTCTGGTTTTTAAGAAGCTTGGGTCATGATGTTAAGAAGCCGTGTCCCTGGGTTTAAGAAACCGTGTCAGGTTTAAGAAGCCGGGTCATTTTTTAAGAACCGGGTCATGGGTTAAAAACCTGGGTCATGGGTTAAGAAACCTGGGGCATAGCGTTAAAAAAGCCCGTGTCATGGTTTAAGAAGCCTGGGTAAGGAGTTAAAAGCCTTTTGGGCATGGTTTAAGAACCTGGGCATGGTGTTAAGGGACCCTGGGCCCCGGTTTTAAACACCGGGTCCGGGTTTAAACCCCTGGGTGCTTTAAAAGGTGCAGTTCCACCAGCTGCCCCCTCCCCACTCCCCCAAC